TTCTGGAAAAGCAAGCAAATCCTTTATAATTTCTCTTGTTAAAATAATTGAGGCAAGTTTTTTGCTTTCTCCTGGTTTTAAATCAAGATAGTTTAAATCATTCGAATTGAGGATAATTTTGGACTCACTTTCGGAAGAAAGATTATGTCTTGATACTTTTATCATTCCTTCTATTTGCTTAATGCTTTTCTCTAATTTTTCCCTCAATAATGTCATTTGCCCTTCTTCCTGAAAATCTCCAATCCCAGAAGATAATTTATTAATGGCATTTTCTACTCTTTTATTAAATACCACTATTTTTTCCGAGGCTTTTCTGGACAAAAGTTTATCCTTTACCTGCTTCTGAAAATTTTCTATCGCTAAAATAATTTCTTTTTTTGCATTCATTTTTATATAAATAGTTAAGTAATTATTACATAATAAAGTTTTTAACACAAAAACAAGTTGACTTAGTCAAAAAATTTTCCTAGATCATTTTTTTCAGAAAGTTCTGCGACTTTTGTGCCTACTCCAAAATTACACTTTTCGGTTGTATCATTCTACTATCAACGAAGTATCAATATCTTTACTTAATTCCTCTCTCATTGGATAACGTAAGTAAGTAATGATTAGTTTTTGTTTATCAAAAGCAAGATAGGGCGGAACTTTTAGATTTTTTTCCAAATTATCTTTGATAAGTTTGTTTTCTTTCATTTTTTCTTTTTTTAGACTAATAACTTGCCCGGGTTCTATTTTACAAGAAGGAATATTTATTTTTTTGCCATCGACTAAAAAGTGACCGTGACTAACCCATTCCCGAGCAAAACCAATCGTGTTAAGCAGTCCAGACCTAAAAACTAAATTATCTAGGCGTGATTCTGAACCTATTAAAAGGTTAGTTCCTGTATCACCAACCTTGGCCTTTGCTTTTATATATTCGTTTTTTAATTGATTGTCACGTCAACCGTAACTATAAAGGACTTTTTGTTTTTCTTGTAATTTTAACCCATAAGAAGATTTTCTTCTTTTCCTCTTGGCTCCGTGTTGCCCTGGCGGATTATTCCCTTTGTTTCTGAACCGCGGCAAAGGAAGACCTAATGCTCGAAGTTTTTTTAAAACTGAACCAAGATATTTTGACATATATTATAGTTTTAGTTTCCTAATCAATTATCACACTAATGATAGAAAATAAAAAAATAAACTAAAAGGAGCAAGTTATTACGTGCCATTCAATACTTTTATTGTCATATATTTTTGGTATTTGGACTAAAAATGAATTATAAAAAACACTAATCAGGTTTTTAGGGAGATATACCCAAGTGGCCAAAGGGGGCAGTTTCGAAAACTGTTAGGGAGTAAAATCCGCGGGGGTTCGAATCCCTCTATCTCCGCCAAAAAAATAATAAGATGGAAGTGAACTTAATAAATCTAAAAATGTTCTTATTGTCAAAAAATTATCGGCGATGTTGATAATTTTTATACCATGAACAAAATTAGCACTGAATATTTCGTTGACAGAATTGGTTATGATGGTAAAATTGCTTGTTCTCGTAAATCATTTTTCTTCCGCAATTGCAAGGAAAAAATGTGGCAAGAAATGGCTGAAATTTTTAATTGCTATATCTATCAAAGTAGTTTTCTCAAAAAAAACCAAGGAAATATAAATTGTTACGAATGGTGCACGATAAAAATACTCTATCCAAAAAAATTCATTTGTAAGTATTGTGAACTCAGCGAACTTGTTTTTTATAGGTCGGCGAAGGAGAATGTCTGTCAAACCTGTTTTAAGGAATTGACTAAACAAAGAGCAAGGGAAAGAATCAAAAAAGTTGTCAAGGATGAAAAGAATTAATTTTTGAAATTTAGTAAAAATATAATTAATGTTAATTGTATTTAACACAACTTCTCAAAAATCTTATCCCAAAAAAACTCTGAAAATCACAGATTGGTTTTGACATAAACAGTTTTTATATAATATTTTTTTATGATTACTTACTTCAACCGCTTTTTTTCTTTATCTATTATATATTATATTTTAGTTAGTTGGTCGGTTAGTTGATTAATGTGTAAAAATTATTTTATATGGAAAGTAAATCAAAAGTTAAATGTTTTCAATGTTTTAGAACGATAACTCGTCAATGAGTTCTATCAAAAAGAGATTATTCTTTGAAAAACAATTGAGATTACTGAACTGAAAAAAGTGAAAACGAAGGAAAATATATTTGTGGCTCTTGCTTGTTAGATTTATATTATAAAGATAAAGGCGAATATTTAAATCAAGTTCAGAGTGACAAAAAGAGACGAGTGTTTCGCCAATATGTTCACAGTAAAGTTATTAATAATTCCTAATCTTTTTTATTATATGTCAATTGATTAATATATATACATAAAATAAATTATGGTGAGCCATAAAAATATAATAAAAAAAACAATTGAATTAAAAAAATATCAAGAATGGTTAGAAAAAAGAAACTCTTCTCCTAATACCATTCGGAATTATTGTTGATCAGTTCGAGAATATAAAGATAGAGAATTAACTACTGAAAATGTGGTTGATTTTTTAAAGAAAAGGTTGATTAGGTATAAACCGCGCACTTTAAAAATCCTACAAAGTGGCTTAATTTCTTATGCCAAATTTTTAAAGATAGTTATAGAGTGAGAGTTAATTACCAAATTAATTCCTACTATTCAACCTCGTTTTTTTGCTACGATTAATCAGCAAGAGTTAGAGTTATTGAAAAACGCTTGTTTTGAAACTACTCAGCAAACCAATTCAAGAAATAGTTTACTATTAGAATTTTTGCTCTACACTGGATTGAGGGTAAAAGAATTGATTAATATTCGCCATAACGATTATGTAAATGGACTTTTAGAGGTAAAAGGAAAGGGTAATAAGGTTAGATGTGTTTTTGTGCCTGATTTTCTAGCGAAATATTTTAATGGCAGTCCTAATTATTTGTTTACAACTTGAAAGGGTAGAAAGATAGGCGATGGCTGAGTAAGAAAAATTATTAATCGAAAAACAAAAAAAGCGGGAATAAATAAGTGAATAACCCCTCACACTTTTCGTCGTAGTTTCGCCACCTTATTAAATAATCGCGAATGTAAATTAACTACCATCCAAAAATTGTTAGGTCATAGTCAAATTACCACTACTGCCCAATATATCCATAATGATTATAATACCCTCTATCAAGATTACAGCAAAATCTTCACCCCCCCCCCCCCCCCCCCACTTCATCCATCAACTCTTTTAAAAAGTAAAAATAATTAATTTACCAAAATAAATGTTTAGAAGACCAAAAAAAGAAATAATTATT